AACTGACCCGCTGCGTGCAGTGTCCTTCATGCCAGAGGATAAGCTCACGAGCCAGGCCTGCCCTTCAGTCTTCCTTTGTACCTCTCACAGTCCACCCAAGACACTAAATAAATACTTCTAGTATTAATGAATGAAATACCTGTCACAAAGCACCAGACTACAGCCTAGGCTGCCCTCGAAGGCTTCCTGAAGCTCGTTTCTCCCATAGTTTTTTACAAATTTGCTTCCTGCCTTTCTAGCCTCTGCAAATCAGAAGTGAATGGCTGGGGGTGGAGAGACGATTTCAGTGAAAACAGTCTCTGTCCCGCAGGGCTGGAAAATTCAATGCTGCATTTCCACGGTAACGGTACTTTCATAATGACACCCTGATTCACCAAGAGAAAGTTCAATGAGATTTTTTACTCTTTGTCTGAGGTAGTGGAGCATGGCATAACGATAATAAAATGCTTCGAAGGGGGCGAGCATCGGTTATCCGCAACGATCAGCGTGTAGCTCTGTAGGTGACTGGCCAGCGCTCCCCATTGGTGGGAAGAGATGCAGCCCCCCGCCATGGGCTCTGTCATGTCTTTATGTACAAGCCAGTGCCGGGGTCCTTTGGATTTCCACCACTCCACTTTCAAAGAGTTGTCGTCACCAGCCTTATTTAGATGGTTTCAGTGATCCTCAAAGAAGCCTATGACATAATAAGAGATTTAAGGAAAGGAAAGAGACCCAAACAAAACACATGAAAAATAGATATCCCAGTCAAGCCCAGAGCTTCTGTCATGGATGCTTTAAGGTTGGGGGGGAACTATTTCTAATTCGACTGTTTATTTCTGTCACCTCCATACGTATTAAGTCTTTAAGAGAAAGCTTTTAAACTACAGTTTTGCAAAACAGCTTGATTCTTGAATACTGTCCAAATAGTTTCATAAGAAAGTTCTGATGCTAATTTTTATAAACAATTTCACATGTACAGTGAGTGCTAAGTTCTTATTTTTTGATTGTTTGAATTGCATTAGATTTTTCAAAAGCTATTAGAAAGAGAAGGCAGTAGGAAGGCCCATCCATTGTATTTTTCAGAAGAAAGCTGGTTTCTACAATATTATTCACATTTTGTAAACCTGCACATAAAGCCCATCCATTGTATTTTTCAGAAGAAAGCTGGTTTTTACAATATTATTCACATTTCGTAAACAGATTCAATGAACCTGCACATAAAAGGTTAAATGTTTGCAGGCCATTTTTTTTTTTTTTTTTGCCTCAAAGATCAGAGACAAATTACTGTTTTTATTTTACATTCCCTTGATGAGGATAATGATAAACAGCTGTCACTTCAGTGCTTAGACTGCAAAGAATTCTAAGCAATCCTATAATTTAAACAAAGAAAAAACATATAGTCATACACAGTATATATACAGAAAAGAGCACTAGAGAGAATTTGGTTAGAACTGGGGTTAGAGAGAGAAAAAGGAGCATTTGCTCTCTGCAGTTACTCAGTCAAAAGAAAAATTCCATCTAAGTATGTTTTTCCCCATTCACCTTAGACATTAGAAGGAGCAGTTACTCCTCCTTTCCGTCTAAAATCAGAAAAGAAATTGAATTTGCGTTCCGAATTCCGTGACACCCCGTCGCGTCCACGGCATCATCAGAACAGTTAAGATTTGCCCGGGACCATGTGTCTGCTAGCATTTCCAGAAGCTAAAGAGAATTTCCAGTCGTTTCACTGCTTGTTCCGGAACACACTTCTTTTTTGTGTCGAGAATTAAGCTGTCGGGTGTTCTCTATTCACTCTGACACTTTCTTCCTTGTGTCTGTTTCAAAAAGTGAAAGTGAGGGTCTTTTTTGCATATTTTGATATGCAAAAAAGTAAAGCAAGACTAAATGTTAAGAATAGTACGAAATGAGGAAAGTCAGTTTATTATATGAAAATGTGGGTGATGAGATAATTTTCCTGGTGTTTCATATTCCCAGAGGTTCTTTTAGTTAATGCTATTTATTCTGCTTTTCTCTTTTTGCTCAGTTATTTATTTTTAACAAATGTCAGTACTTAGATGACGTCTTAGTCCTAGAAACCCATTTTACATTTATTATTGTATCTGTGAAACTGACTTGACATGGTGGGTGTTTCACTGTTTCATAATATTTCTCGGTTTGTTTCTACCTAAGGAAAAACAGAAACGGGTTTGACATCGTATTTATCCTACATCTGTTGAGTCTATCATCTCTCACAGCCTCAGATGCTCTTCTGCAGGTTGACAAAATGGTACCCACCTCCGGAGGCTTGATGTGGGTCTTCTGTGTAGAGTGTTTAGCACAGTCCCTAGAACGAAATCAGTGGGAGAGGTAGTGTGTTGATGCCGAAATGCCATCACCCCCTGCTGTTAAATACAACAGCAAAATCCCAGTATGTCTCAGATCAGAGAGACAAACCAAATTGTGTTGTATCTATTATGGAGGTTTATATTGCTTTATATAAAAGATGTTTTCCGCCCAAAGCTCTAGGTCATCTGTTCCCATTTATACGCATAATTTCATAATCGTATTGTCATCCTTACTATTATGGAGTAGTAGGGGACCCTAACTCATCGACTTAGGGGTCCTCTGGTTCCCAGTCTCTCTAACAATGAGAAGCTCTTGGAGACCCTGAAACGCCCTGGGGAGGCTTCCGTGATTTCAGTAACCGTCTTCGTGGTATTAACCCCGCCTTCTCCAAGGCGTCCAGCTCCGTGCTAGGTGCTGAGAAGGGGAGATGAACAAGACCCCGGAGGCTAAGAGGGGGAGAGACATAAAACTGGGCTGGATATTAAATAATTAAAGTGAGTACAGGACACGGATGAAATACCGAGTGGGGCGTGGCGGGATTCCGAGGGCCTTGGGAGCTTGTCCAGAAGAGGGGGTGGCGGAGCAGGGCTTGGGAAGATGAAAAGTCCTCACCGGTGGGAGGAGGGCGTCCCAGGACGAGTTCTCAGGAAGCGTGGTGTAAAAAATACACAGTTTGCCATCATTAGAGCTCTCGAACTGAAAATGTCTCATGCTCAAATTTTTCATCTTAAATTTTCAGAATGTGTGTTGAGAGGCAAGCAGCTCTTTAACTCTTATTCCACGAATATTCAGAAAAGAAATAGGGAAACTAACACTTACTGAGCGCCCACGAGGCCCTCGCCTCGGTCATGTCACATGCATGATCTCGTTTAGCTTCAGAAAGTTTTTCAGAGACGTGTATTCCCATTTTAAAGGCAGGGGAGCTGAGTCTCAGTTACATTAAGTGACTGAGGTGTGGCCACATGACAGAGCCTGAATTTGAACCTAAAGTTTTCACTTTTGAATACAATCCCCTCTAATGACATGGCAGTTACCACCGATTAGTACCATTTGGGCTCAGCCTGGGTCACATTCGCAATGGGTGTTTTTTTGCCCTGTAAAGAGGTTTGAGAACTTGAGCGTTCTTTTACCCATGGTGACCTTTCCTCTCTTGCTTTACCACTTTATGGCCTTAGCTTTTACCTATTTACCTCAGATTCTATTGTGCTTATATTACAAATTAATAAATAAAGAACTACATAAGACGTGATTTAATTCATTCAGTGACCAAAGACCATTTAAAAAGAAACAGTATAGGGAAACAGCTGTCATTGTCGAAACTTCCAGTTCTCTACCTTGCCGTGGCAGCAGTCAGATGCCTCAGAAATATCCACGAAGTGTCACCTGAAGTATGAGGTTATACTCTCAGGACTGGAAAATGACTGTTGGGTTTTAGAGTGAGCACATATTATTTTAATATTTTTTAAAGTGTTGGATATTTCTGAGCAAGAGAAGCCTGTATAAATGATAGAACCAGTTTCTGTCTTTGCTGTTGTCGATTTCGTGGCCTTCCAATATGCCTTCACATATGCATATGGATTCAGAGGAAAAGCTTGTCATTTATAAATCCATTTAAGCTATTTAGCACAGGGCTGTTCCTAGATTGGATGATGGAAAGCCTGGCAGATCAAAGTATGTACATTCCCAGAGAAAACTATTTCATGTCCACAAGGCCGACAAAGAGTTCCTGGAAAATGGATATGAACCTTTTTTTTTTTTTTTTTTGCATTCGTAATTAAATCTTTCCAAATGCTAGAAAGTAGCCAGACCACTAACAATGTTTGTATCATGTTCAGGGGCTTAGCTGGTTCGACCTGACTGAAACGGAGACCGTTTGTCGTAAATTGATTTCAATGCCAAGCCAATAGGTCAGCCTTTAATGATGAAGATGCCATTGCAGCCCAGCCTCTGGTGGATAAGCCAAAATTAATTAACTCAAGCCCCACAGTATAGAAAACAGATGCTTCTCTCATGTTGCACGAATAAATTCTTTGCATATAGATGTATTCTGTTTTGTTCAAAGAATAACAAGTTGGAAGTTAAAAATTGTCAGTGTTTCACAATGGAGCCAGCCTTTGGTGGCGATGAGAGAAGCAGGAATTGACATAACAGATTCCAGCAAGTGCATGGGAAGATGAATTATCCTCTACATCTCTTCTTCTGGCTCCAGGCCAGGCCGAGGAGATTTCGTTTTAAACCTGGGCTGATCCAAATGCTGACCCATTTCGGAGCGGACTTGGGAGTTCCAGAGCAACGCCAAGGTCATTCTTAAGCCGCAGTGTCCCCGGAGACCCTTCCCAGAGGTCTACATCTGCACATATGTTTGGATTCAGTTCTCTGGCTGGCTCGCACATGGCTTAAGATCAGATTGTTCTCTAGAGAGACGTCGTTAGGTGCACTGTTTATCGGGTTATTCATCTCGACATTCATTCAGAATTAGAACACTTGCTTTTCCGACATGGTGGCAGGCTGCAAGCAGGATAATAACTGTGTGGCTCCGATCTCTTTTCAGAATTGATGGATGTGAGATAAGGCGCTACCATCCAGTAGTGTAACTCCAAACACAGTAAACGGAAGTCTATCATCTGACTATGTCTGGTGGTGTTTTTTTTCTGAACGAATGTGAAATCATCCGTGTTTTCTTTCCTTTCTATTAGACTGAAAATGATGAGAATGACCAAGCAGAAAACTTTTCCATGGACCCCCAGCTGGAGAGGCAGGTGGAGACCATTCGCAACCTCGTAGACTCTTACATGTCGATCATCAACAAATGTATCCGAGACCTAATTCCCAAAACGATAATGCACCTGATGATCAATAACGTAAGTGATCATAAACCGCGTCTCATTCCGAGTGTGAAGACTGCTCACATTCTCCTTAGTTTCCTTGGGGTATTGTCTGCGTGGCGGAAGTTCCTGTTACCCAGGTCCATCATTTTCCATCGTAAGTGGGAGCTGACCGACCAGTGAAAGAGAACTTAGGAAAGAAAACATGAAACTCCTAGCTGCAGCACTGTGGGTTCCCCGTCAGCCCTCTCTTCCGGCAGGGTGAGTCTGCTTACGGTAGAGCACAGCATAGCTGCAGTCAAGGTATAAATTAGATGCAAAGGCGGTAATGAAACCAGATGCCCTGCCTCCTAGACTTTGAGATTAAAGGCACAAGATAGTTATTTTTCTCTACGCATACGCACACCTAAAATATACACACACACACACACAAATACACACACACAAAAATACACACATACAATATGTTCATGTGATCATTTTCACCTTCTAAAAATTATGGAATGCCAAAAAGGGCTTCGCGTCCTCTCCCCTCGGATGCAAAGTCAGTCCAACCTTCCTTTTTTAAGGTGAGGATGACGCAGATCTCAGAGTGTCCTGAGGGATAGCCATCAGTCGATCTGTAGCGTATAGAGTCTCTCTCTTTTCATGGTTAACTTTGTGCCAGTCAGGATACGACATTGAAATGACGTGGTCCGGTTTGGTTCTTTCGGTAGCTGCTTTGTTAAAGTACAAGTGAGATCTCAAGTTATTTGAGAAACTACCTTTCACATAAGATAGGCTGCGATGGGGTGTTTTATAGCGGCTCTTCTTACTCTTGAAAAGGGAGACACTATTTTATCCCTACTTATCTTCTGAGGACATGTTTTTACGTAAACCAATAATGTATTCTGAGCATTTGTTTGTAACAAATTTAATGGCAAAGTACCGAAAAGAACCCCCACATCAGAATTTGAGAGCAACCTGGATTCTAACCTTCTTTGCATTTGCGAAATATTAGTAATAAAAAGTACTTGGCTGGGGGGCTTATTCCAGAAGATAGCATATATATGGAAGTCCTAAGAAGAATACAATTGTAAGAGACTAACATGGCTGCCTGTTGAAGACCTACAAGAGCCTTATCCATCTTTCAAGATTCTTTTCCAAAATCCTATTTCTAAATATAGAAACCCATTTGTTATGCATGATCTATGCATTGTGTATGAATTTAAGAAGCCCAGGCACTCATGCGAACAATCTTGTTTTTAACCAACTCTATCTTTACACACATTTCGAGTGTTCAAACAAGTTTAGTAGGATGCTTTGAAGTAGCAGCAGCAGGTAAGCAATATATTGGGAATTTGGAACCTGAACTGTATTCTTAAGTTTGGTCAATGGCCTGCTGTGTGACCTGAAACAAATCATTTGGTTCCTCTGAGTCGAAGTCACTTCTGAAACCAGATTACGAACCCTGAGCTGCCTCACAGAATTGTCGGAGAACATAATGAATGTGACTATATGCCATTTTGAAAAATATAAAGTACTAAACAAACAGTCTGTGTATTTTTAAAATTACCCTCTTCACTTGACTTAAATGAGTTCAGGTTGTTTGGCCGTGGCGTAGCCAGGCCCTTGCTTATTTAAACATTTTCCTGATTAAGTATCATTTATCTTTTCACTGTTTTACTGGGAGTCATTAGCGCTGCCATCAGTTCAAACGCGGCTTTGCTCTGCAGTGCATTAAACCATCAGCACAGGAAATGGCGCTTCCTGTCTGTAGCTGCGAGGAGTCGCTTGACACGAATTAGTTAAAAAGAAGAAAAAGACCCTATTGCAAACCTATCCCACTTTCACCGTCTTGAGAAACACACACACGCACACACACGCACACAGGCTCATTGCCCTCCCTCCTCACTGGTGTGCTGGCTGCTTTCATGAATGGCTAAGCCCCCCTCCCTAAGGCGGCTTAGCCATGGAGAAGCGGCTCTGCCGGTTGTCCTGACACGGACCTCACAGAACCATGAGAAAGCGGACCTCATTGAAGACTTCAAATAAGACTTCAAGGTCAAACCTGGAAGCAGAGACCGATAGGAATATGGAAAAAGCAAAACTCATCATTGAATGCCGGATCCTTAGGAAATGACGGTTATGTTCGTCTGAAATTCAACTTTTTGTATCTACCAGAAAATAGTTTTAAACATCTAGGATGACCTCTTTTCTTTGAATATTATTTGATCTGCTTTTTTACTATATATATATATATATATCTCTGTATAAAACTATATAGTTATATCTTTTTTAAATTAGATGTATGTAAAAATAGAAGTCTTTTTTCTAAACGGCCTCACAATCTCGTGGCACCCTCTCGCCCAGAACGTCCGAGCCCTCTGTGCTCACTCCAGAGGCGCCTCGTTGAGAGTAAGGGACCAGAAGCGTGGTGAGCATCCAGCACGTGACACCGTGTACGTGTTGATCTTTGATTTGAAGTGAGGAGAGCTTCAGGTGAGAGAATCATCGGATCACAACCAGAAAACAAACACTTTGACTCCTCCTTCTGTATTCCGTCCTCTTGGCCCTGCCGCTTCTCTAAATGGCTTTGGGCGAAAAGCTCATTGTTCCCCCAGAACCAACCAGCACGTAACTGGGGCCCTCTCTCAGTGGACTCTCCCTGGGGCAGTGCCGTGGCCTTTCTTCTCTGGGACGAGAATGGCTCCTTCGCCTTCTAAAAAAAGAGCACGTTTCAGCCAACTTTCATAAGGTTCCGAGTGTGGTGGGCAGTTTCCTTTGAAAGTTTACATTAAGTGTTCTGCCACTCAAGTCTCCATATGGAATTGTTTAAGGAGTTTAAAGCCAGCCATAAATGCCTCGCCTCAGACATACTGTAAGCCTTTGTCTATTGAAATGCAGCAGCTGTTCCGTTGCTTAAACATACCAGGTAACAGCGACACAAAGAAATAGCAAGTTTATGACAGGCAGTCGTTCTCAAAGGCTGGAGTCAAAGCAGCAGAGTTTTGTTCAGGACTTTAAAGCTAACGCACTCGTGACAGCCCATGGCAGGCACGTTTTCATGGCTCCTTCTCTGTAGCTGTGCCGCCAAAAAGACGTTCTCCATCGGAGAATCGAGAAAGTGGATCCAGCTTTATTTTAAAGGTGTGAGTGGCCGAGTGGCACGTAATTCTGCGTGTGAGCCCACAGGACCCCCACCCATTGGGTACCCACTATTTTGCCCAGATTACGTATGAAGAAACGGAGGCTCGGGGAGGTTTAGCGGCTCTCTCGAGATCACACAGCTGGGGAGGGCAGAGTCAAGATGGAAACCCAGGTCTTCTCATTCAGTCAGTGTTCTGTCCACTTCAGCATAAGATAATGCGTGTGGCGAGGCTGGGAAAGCGATGAGTCAACCTCTTCAAACCCGGGGCACCTATCCCCATGGCACATTCATGGGGTGTCTTCCCAGAGGGCCCTCGTGACTCAGAGATTTACTGAGAGTTCGTTTAAGTATTCAAACCATGTCAGATAATACGAAAGAGAATGTGAAACTTAGAGCTTAGAGGCCCGTCACACCTGGATGTGTGCTGCAGCCTGCGTCCAGGACCCCTGGGGGCAGACACAGCCTCTGTCCTGGGCCCCGGGGGGCAGACACAGCCTCTGTCCTGGGCCCCGGGGGTCAGACCCACAGCCTCTCTCCTGGGCCCCGGGGGGCAGACACAGCCTCTGTCCTGGGCCCCGGGGGGCAGACACAGCCTCTCTCCTGGGCCCCAGGGGGCAGACACAGCCTCTCTCCTGGGCCCCGGGGGGCAGACACAGCCTCTGTCCTGGGCCACTGGTACCTCAGTGGAAAACTAGTAACACGTGCCCTAGTTTCAAAACCTACTGTGCGTGGAGGACACAGCCTCTCTCCTGGGCCCCGGGGGGCAGACACAGCCTCTCTCCTGGGCCCCGGGGGGCAGACACAGCCTCTCTCCTGGGCCCCAGGGGGCAGACACAGCCTCTCTCCTGGGCCCCGGGGGGCAGACCCACAGCCTCTGTCCTGGGCCACTGGTACCTCGGTGGAAAACTAGTAACACGTGCCCTAGTTTCAAAAGCTACTGTGCGTGGAGTAGAGTGTTATTTTAAATGTCCATTATGTGAGAGGAGAGTACATCTTAAATGTCAGAGCACTGATTTGCTTCCACGGGTCGGGAATTCAGCTTTTTGCTCCAGAAGCATCACAACCAGGGCCCAGAAGCTTCCCACGCAGACTCCCCGTCCCATCACTTCCCCCAGGGGCGACACCCCTGATGCCTTTGACCACAGATTCATCCTGCCTATTTTTGAGCTTTGGAATCAAACAGTATGTGCTTTCTCGCGTCCTACTGCTTTTGCTCAATGTTACGTTTGTCAGTCAGAGGATGTGACTTTTTCAAGAAGGAAAGCTTCGTGACTCTCTGGGAGACGCAGAGGAGGCTCGAGGAGAAATGAGAGAACCGTGAGATGGCGAAGAATCGCAACGTTCTAACCGAGCCCCTCTCCAAAACTGCGCAAATTCAAACTTCCGAATTCAGTCTTCAGATACGTGCCCCTGTGCACGAGAGCTATCACTGTTTTATCCAGAAACAGAGGTTTAAGGAAATGGTCTCCTTAGTAACTGAATTGTACGAAAACTCTAGAAGTGTCTGTTTGTGAAGGCTTTACATTGGGCATGGCGACGAGGACAAAGGGTGAAGAGCAAACACTACGGCAGGTGGCCGGAGAAGGGTTAAAGTGTGAGAGAGGAAACGTGGAACGTGTTTAACGGTGTCACATTCCTTTACACTGAGTCGGGCGCCGTGGTGCAGGGATGCCTGTTTATCTAGCCCGTAGAGTTTGAACTGCTGTGAGCTTCCGTGTGTGAGAATTTTTTTGCAAACCGTACAAAGGTGTATAGGTTATAAGGTGTTATTATTAAAAGCATAGATATTATTTCACATCTTGCATTCAGGTATAATTCGTTCATGTTCTGTTCCATGAGGTGTTTTCTAAATGCCATTACCTAAAAGGGATCTCCTTGGCCTCTAGTTGTCGTGGTGAACCCGTGACTTAAATATTTGTCCCATTGACATACAGACTGCTCAGAAAGTCCCCGAAACGTCTGGAAACTCCTCAAAGTCCCCCACCCCCACCCCCCTTCGGTCCAGTCGTAGCTTCGCCAGGATAGCGGGAGGAGAAGAGTCTTTCCAAAATTTTGCTTAAGTGCAAAGTAAAATGTCAACCTCTGCTCCGTATCAAACTATGTCACGTGATGCCTGCACTACCGTGATAGCTTTCCAGGTGTTCTTCTGCCTCTACATCCCCAATGCCGGTTTAGCCCTCTATCCTATACAAAGGATAGCTTCTGTCCACGGAGCACTAGGCGTCATCGTGTGCGGTTTACGCTTATTCTTTTACTTAATCCTCGCAACAGCTCTCGAGGCAGCTCCTACCATTAGCGTCGTTAAGGAACCTGAGACTCAAGGAGGGTGAGCTGTTTGCCCAAGAACAGTAAGAGTAAGAGCTGGGACTCAGCTTCAGAACGTCCGATGCCAGAGCAGATGCCCGTCACCGCCGTGCCGCGTTCCCATTTTCTCTCGTGCTAATAACACTTATATGATTTCAGCACATTGCTGAATCTTTTGGACAGTCGGCAAGTCTCAGTGTGTCATATTTTGATGTGGAAGAATTGATTCAAGGCAGATCTTTGATCAGAATGCTGAAACTGGCCCTTATTATTTTATTTCGTGGTTTGTTTGACAGTTGCTTCTTAATTCAGATCTGCTTTAAATCTATTCTTGGAAGGATCTTCTTTTAAATTGCGTTTAATAGATTCTAAGTGATACTCCAGTAAGATGGAGAGCTTCAAAAGAGTTTAACCCAACTGATGGCCATTGCCAGGAAAATTGTCTGGTTTTGAATTCGGAGTTGCGTCATCCTTCCAAGTGCATGCACACACCCAACTGGGGGATTTGTGCACTTGTCCGCCCCGTGAGTCCCCGCGAGTGTGTTTAGAAGTGAGTAAGTCTTCCAGGAGGGGAATGAAAGATTCTTTAAGCCCAGTTTCCTGTCTTCCCTCTAAGTCTGACTTTTCCTTCTTGACTTGTGATTATCTGCTCTCCCACTCACCGAAACCTCAGTGCCGGAGGCCTCTGTTCCTTTCTCCCTTGTCCTTCACATACATACAGCACCAAGGCCAGTTGGTCTCCGTTTATACTGTCATTTAAATGTGCTCATCTTTTATTCCAGCTTGCTAAATTAAGCCCTTGCTAAATTGTAACCTTGCTAAATGAAGCCCTTATCATCTCATAAATGACCTGCAGTAGCTTCTAACAGATTTCTTTATCTCCATTTGCAAAGTCTTTTCACAGCCAGATTAATTTTCCTAAAACTGTCTTTTATTGTTTCCTTTACTTGCTTAAAAGCCTTCCAAGGCTCCCCGTTGCCAAGCGGATAAAGATCAGACACTTTCCTTGGCATTTAAGGCCTTCGCACCTGGCCCCCGGTTACCTGGCCAAATTTACCTTCCACAACCGTCACCCATAAACCTATTCTACCAGGCAGTTGTCTGAACACCTCTTGTGTATTAGACTACTTCCACACTCGAATCACTCTTGGCTTACAAAATACATGCAGAGAACATTTAATTCACAGCGAAGCTCTGATTTAGGTAGTTTTCTGATGAGCAGAGTTATTTGCACAGTTAGATACCTTTAAAAAATTATGAAGCTCTGTGTTTTAGACTCTTGTCATCCCTGAGTTATAAATTTAACTACAACCTGGAAACTTTGATCATCTGACAGGTGTCCTATTGCCCACCTGAATTTGTAGCAATTAAATATACTGGCTGTTGGCCTTTCTTAGAGAAAGATCCAGTGTCTCTGGGTAAGTGTTAGCTTTTTCATTTAACAGAGAAACTGAAAAATCCAAGTCGGTTTATTTTCCTAGGCTTATGTTAATTAGTGTACTTGTTGTGCTCTAAAATAATGACGCTTAAACGTAAATTGTCTCCTTTAAGCACCCAATCAAAGGGAGCCAGAGGGTAATGGGAAGAGCACTAGACTTCAAATCAGAAGATTTCCAGTTCAACTTAATCCTGTGTGGCTGGGCACGTTACTTAAACTTTCTGAACTTCAGTTTCTTCATCTGTAAAACTGGGATAATAATACACTTTTCATAAGTATGTGGTGAGAATTAAGTTAGATAACTTTTGAAGGCACTTGGAATGCACCATATTTCATTGGTTCTCACATCCACTTTTTTCACATTTAATATTTCTGACGCGAAGAAGCGTGTTACACGCAATGGCGTCTTGACATTCTGTCATAATTCAGGTGGTGGTGGTGGTTTCTTTCTCAGTGGCACATAAAATAGTGGCGAGTATTAGATCAGCGGCGTCTTAGATTTGCTGGAATGTGGTGGTTGGTTCTCTCTCCCTCGGTGCTATGCCTCGTGTGTACTGTTCATACTTAAGTTTGTTTTTATGTAGCTGTTAACCATGGACCCCATGCCAGTGCTCGTCACTGTTACGTAGCAGGTTCTACTGTAAACTTCTAGAAAGCAGAGAATGTATCACTTTTTTTATAAATCAACTTGTACAATTATATGGGGTTCTAATAAATACTCTCTCATTATTGCTAATTCCACTTTTGAAACGAAATCTGAGCTATTTATAGTACTCCTGAGATTTTGGTAAAAGCTCAGTGAAGAACTGGGAATACCAAGGAATGGGTAACTTGTGTCATTACCTGGGTTTCTTTACATCATTGTTTCTGGTTGAAAACACCACTGCCTACCTCCTGGGGCGTCCGCCATCCATGAGCCGAGAAGCCTCAGACAAGGCTGTGGAAATGCTTGACAGCAGGCTTTGTCCCTCCTTTCAACCAACCTGTGTCTTCCTTTAGTGGCAACAGCATACGGAAGGGGGAAGCTTACCGGCACGGTTCTGCGGACGGGGAGAGAATGAGGAAGATAAGCGCGAACGGATGCACGATGTGGCCCTTTCTCAGAGCGGGCTTCCGTGGACCGCGTCCCCAGGCTCTGCACCAGTCTCTACCGTTCCGTCACTCACTCATTCATTCCCGTTTTCCTTTTCTGTGGCGACCTGGCAGGTTAAAGATTTCATCAACTCGGAGCTCCTGGCGCAGTTATATTCTTCGGAGGACCAGAACACTCTGATGGAGGAATCTGCCGAGCAGGCTCAGCGTCGGGATGAGATGCTTCGGATGTACCAAGCCCTTAAAGAGGCCCTCACGATCATCGGTGACATCAACACTGCCACCACGTTCACCCCCGCGCCGCCCCCCGTGGATGACTCCTGGCTCCAGCACTCCCGCAGGTAGGAAGACGGCCCGCGTCCCCCGAGGCCTGCCAGGCGGGTCCCGCATCACTCTCTGGGCATGCTCCCCTAAAAAAGAAATATGAACCTAACGAAAGCAGAGGAAAAAAGATATTTAGGTCCAGGAGTGAGAGATGGGGTCAGGGGATCCCAACTCCCTTCAAAAACAAGCACGACACATCCTTGCTGTGGAATGCTACACGGCCGTCAAAAAGAACAGGCCGGTTGCATAGGTACTGAAATGAAAAGACGGTCAAGTTCATGTGAATCTTTAAAACAGAAAGTTAACTCGTAGAACATGGTGCCCGATTATGTACGAAAACGAATTCGTACTTACAGAGAAACCGTCGCAGACTGTAGTGTAAAGGACACACGGGAAACTGTCTCCACAGCGTTAAGGTGTGGGGACAGAAGCGTCTCACCATCTGTCCTGTCATCCCTTTTAACGTTCTTAACCCATATCTGAGTTTCTCAGTAAAAAAAGTGATGAAAAACACGAACCTACAACCAAGACTAGTCTATCCGGCAAGGCTAGCAATTAAAATTGAAGGTGAGATAAAGAGCTTCCCAGACAGAAAAAAGTTAAAGGAATTCATCTCCAATGAGCCAATATTACAAGAAATGTTAAGGGGACTTCCCGAGGGCCCGCGCCCGCCATCCCCTCCCCGGGACCCCACTCGGGGGCCCCTCCGGTTCCGTTCCGGCCAGGCCCGCTGCCTCCTTTCCCCAACAGCAGCGACGCATTTGGAGCCCCTCCGCAAGTCCCCTCCCGGCCCACGCGGGCCCCTCCCAGTGTCCCCAGGTGAGTGTTCCGCACGGAGGAAGCTGGTACGTGGGGTGCTCTGTGGTTCACTTCTCATAGCACGACAGACAAAACATACTTGAAAAAGAAAATTGCAAAGACGTCATCATTTACCTTTGCAATTTTCACCCAGAGGGGAGTCCTGGGGTAACCTCCGCGCTTAAAACCCATACGCGGTCTAAACGTCTCCGTCATCACCCGGCGCAAACTAAATGGGACCAAAGAAAACTGAGTCCAAGTGAATGACATTTTGGCAGCTGTTCGTAGGATCTGACGGGGCAGCTTTGACATGAAGGAGCCGTGGCTGGGTCGCTGTGAGCTGTGTGCTCCACAGGTCATGAGCGTGCCGCCTTAGCCTCGCCTTCTCTGTCACCGCAGGAATTCCCAAAAACCACTGACTTCAAGGAATAGCATCCATCTGCCCTCTGAACTATGACCCTGAAACCCAGTATTATTAACTTTAATGTAGGCCGAGTAAAAATCTGGCTGATTCATCTGCGACTGTCTTTTAAAAAAAAAATGCATGGAAATTTTAACACAGACATCACGATTGCCATGGGCAGTCAACCACATGTGAGATAGAGCACTGTACATTGAATAATACATTTTGGCATTTTAAGCAGATTTTGGGGCTTAATTGTGAAACAAAATAACTGATAAATAAAAGGAACTCGATATAGTCGAAGCTAGATTCTCACCTTCATACATTTACAATCAAAATATATACAATGTGTATAATTAGAGATTTTGCAAATAGAAGGAAATTAGCCCATATAGAAAGTTAATTATTAAAAATTCAATTCAACTCATTTAAATATTGGTCTGCTCCATGAAAGAAAACTTTGCTATGCACGTAGCATAAAAGCGGAAGTGACTCCCGCCCACCCATGAAGCCTGAGCCACTCCACCCTGACTACGGTGCTTGCCTCTATTTTGTTCTTCAGGGTTCTGGGGGTGAGGAAGAGAAGGGGCCTCTTAGACTAGCAGACAAGGGTGACGGAGCAGGGACGGCAGGGCACGTGGACCCAAGCGCTGGCTTGCCCCAGACGTGGGCCACTCATTTAACCTTGAGCCGGGAGAGCCTCACCTGTGACACTGGGACACATTCAACAGAGTCGTTGCCCAAGTCGTACGAGGCGAGGTATTTGAAAGAGTGATAAACCGAAAAGCGCTGTGGTTATCACCATTATCACCACTTTGGTCCTAATCAAAGAGGACATATGTGCTCTCAAACACGTATTTCTTCTCTAAGCTCAGTGGATCGGGCCGCTGATGGATTTGGGCCTGAGCTAAGTTTCTGGTAATAACGGGAGCAGCGGCAGCTGACGTTTAGTGAGTGTGAGGCGCACCCTTGGAACGAGCAGTGCAGGCACATTTCAGTTTCGTGCTCGCCACAGTGCAGCGAGGTAGGTCATTGTCCCTTCTGCAGACGAGGCACAGGCCCTGGACCTGCCGGGCTCCCATCCCAAGCCGTCTGGCTGAGGGGCCCCGTCCCCCGAGCCATGCCAGGGGTTCTCAGCCTGGACGCCACAGACGCCTTTGTTGTTGGCGCTGTCCTGTGCATCTTGGGGTGTTTAGCACCATCCTGGACTCTTCCCACCTGACGTCACTTGCACTCTCCCGATTGTGACCACGAACAATGTCTCTAGACTCTGCCATGCCAGGGTGAGCCCCCTCTGCTACTAGAGAAGCTGCCTGTCCCTTCCGTATAAAAATAAATAAAGCACAAACGTCAGTGCTGAGCGTTGCCACAGGCAAGATTAACTCAGTGCTGTAGGCCACCTGGAGCTGACCAGGACGTGCCTGTCATTGTGCCAGGAGGGTATGGCGGCCACGGGGGCCGGGGGCTGGGGGCAGGAGGTGGGGGTCCCGTCCAGGAGACTGGAAGTTGGCGGTTTTGTCTGTTTGGCTACAAGAAGGAGCCAGGGCCACCCGGCCGTGCCTGTCCTCGAGTGAACGTGCATGTCTTTGCCTGCTCGCTTGGCTGCTTCAGCTCCTGGGCTCACAGGCCGGCCCGCGGGGCCCCGGGGATGCTGCCGAGGGCCGACCCGGTGCATGGAGCGGGCTGGGGTCACCTG